TGTACCCCACGAGAGGCTGAAAATCAAACTGGAAGGGTACGGAATTCGGGGAAATGTCCTTGCATGGATAGAAGACTTTCTACATGACCGCAAGCAGCGTGTGATGATTAATGACACGAAATCATCATCCGAACCTGTCACAAGCAGGGTACCACAGGGCAGTGTATTAGGCCCGCTGTTGTTTGTTTGTTTCATAAATGACATGCCTGACGTTGTACACTCTTCCATACAAATGTTTGCCGATGTCGCCAAGTTATTTCATGAAAACAAGAATCAAGCGGACTGTGAAGAGCTGCAGAAGGATCTCTGTGAGCTCCAAGAATGGTCGAAGAAATGGCTGCTGAGATTTAATGTCACGAAGTGTAAGAGGATGCACTTGGGCCGTACCAATGGTAAGGAGGCGTATCATATGTTCCAACGGGATGAAGAGACTGCACTATTTGAGACTGAATGTGAGAAAGACCAAGGTGTGTATATTGACAATGAGCTGAAGTTCTCAGGTCATTGCGAGATGAGGGTAAATTAGGCAAATAAATTATTGGGTCTTATAAGAAGGTCATTCAGATATCTAGACGGTCCGTCCCGCGTAACGATCTTCAAGAGTGAAGTGCTTCCCCATCTGGAGTACTGTCACCCCGTCTGGTCCCCGAGATATGCTAGGGACTGTCATTTGGTTGAAAATGTTCAAAGGAGGGCCACCAGACTGGTACCTGCACTTCGGCACCTCAGCTACCCTGAGATTTTGGAGCGCCTGAACTTGCCTAGCTTATACTACAGACGGGCAAGGGCTGACCTAATAGAGGTGTATAAGCATCTCAAGGGGCACTGCTCAGTCGAGTGTCCATACTTGGAGCTGGCAGACGCTCGCCCCACAAGGGGTCACAGCTCAAGATTGAAGAAGCCACAAGTCCAGAAAACTGTGAGGGCAAACTTTTTTGGAGTGAGAGTTGTGAACTCCTGGAATAATCTACCAGAAAGTGTTGTGACGGCACCGAGTGTGAGCTCTTTCAAGACCAGACTTGACCAACACTGGAGCAAGTTCAGGAGCATTCAGGAGGTGGTGCATGCCCAGTACTTGCCAGCAGTGCGTAACAGAGACGTGACCGATCGCCCAAGCGGCTAACGAGCCGATCAATTGGTGAAGATAAAAAAAAAGAAAAGTAATAGGGACGTGACCGATCGCCCAAACGGCTAACAAGCTAAATAGTGGTGAAGAGGATAAAAGTAATTTAAAGTAAAGTACTGTACTGCATGGCTTCAGTCACCGCATCACTCAACACTCCTTCAATAAATGTGTTATATTTTTTTCTATAAGTGTCCCCCTTGTGTTTGCTTATGGGTACAACTGTGAATGGAAGTTAAGTTATCATTTTTATTTAGCATTTATAAGTGCACTTGGCAATACTGTGCAATGCTAATATATGCTTATTTTTCTTATATATTCTGTGCCTCACTTTCCTTAACATATTCTTTTATTCAGATACTTTCATTCTACTTACATGTTTAGTTAATTTTATACGAATTGCCCTTGTGAATACTGTACAGTATATAATAATGATTTGAGAATGTGATATGGTTTTTAAGTAGAATTAGTTAACAATTCTTTGCGGTTAAAGGTGCTCCTCTTCACCAGGTATCCATACCCCGCCCTGGCAGAGAAGGTGGGAGGCATCATACTGAGGCGAGTGGTGACCGTCATGCAAGATCTAGCAATATTTGGAGCAGCTGTACCGTTCATGCTCCTTGGTGAGTCATTATTACGGCACCTTACTGTATACTCCATCAAATAATCACCCATTTATTTCTTACTTTCAGGACAAATGATCTTTTACTTAAGTGTTCGATATTAAATTGCTCAAAAATATGAAATTTTAAAGCCTACAGGTCCTATAACATATGACCTGTGAGACACCCCTTTATTCAGGTGGCTGTCTTCATGTTGGAGAACCGGACACTTGTCTTGTTGGATTATTGTAAATGTTGCATCAGCAACCACTCAACCAACTGAACCACATCTTAGTAAACAAAGTCTAGCACTGACCCAACAGTTGCTATGAAAGCCAACCAGAGCTGACTATCTAATTCAAAATCCCAGGTCTCTCCTTCCAACTGATCATGCACATGTCACTGGGATGCATATTGCCAGGGAAGATGTTTTGTTTCTCGTCAGGAGCAGATGATAACTTCTCAACGGGTCATCTGGGTGTCTGTTCTTTAATGGGTTTTTGGGTCTTCTGTATCACCTGTTTCATGAGAGGTTTATACTGTATGAAGTAAGGCAGTACTGTATTCACTCCTGTTACTTGTCCATATGGAACAAAACATTGCCTCATTCCTCTATTCTAAGAAGTGATTTTGTACTCAGTGTTTTGTGACTTTCTGCAACCTTTAGAGGGTAGTGACCATCTTTTCTTGTTCTTGATATCATATTTGATCAGTTCAGGTTAGTGACCTCCACGTTGTTGATGAGGACTCTGAGTTTGAATGAATTCATGGTGTGTATTGTGTTAGAGGCTCTGGATACTAACAGATCATCTTTGTCCTAAAATTCCAGGTGAAGCCAATGAATTGTATGATACAGTAAATGCTGCAGCTGCAGAGATTGGAGGGGGCCAGAGTCAATACCAAGACCAGAGACATTACCGAGGACAATTTCCGACTTGAAAGTCGTGTAGACTAATACTAACACGTTCCTTGGCAAGAGAGTGGAGTTGGAAACACTACTTGGGTACAACAACCCGATAAAATAGGTGTTCTAGAACTGTTGTACAAAAGCAGGAGAATTGAACTGGAGGAATGTGATTTCAATATAAATGGATATGACCCATTTACGAACCTTTCCCAGGAAACTTGCAAGAGGGGTGTGGTTATCTATGCTCGGCAAGACCTTAGAGCCAGCCAAGTGAGGGTGCGGGCAGAAGAAGCTTTCGAAGAATCGAAGTGGTGTAGCATTAAACCGAAGGGGAGAGACTTACTTATTGTCGGGTGTATCTACAGATCCCCAAACTGTAGTATATTAAACCAGAGGAACTTAAGAGCCTTAATTGACAATGTAACGGTGCTAAACCCTCGCCACCTCCTTGTCACGGGGGACTTTAATTATGGCGACAACGACTGGAGAAATGAACCCACGCCAAACGACCTAAATAAGCCAGCCACTCTTTTCATAAACTCTGAGAGACAATTTTCTATTCCAACATGTTAAAGATCCGACTCACTACAGAAGGGAGTAAACACTCAAACCTCTGAACATCATCATAACTAACGAGGGGGGTATGGTGGCCAAGCTGGAACACCTAGCCTCAGTCAGCACCCGTCACCATGTAATGTTGTCCTTTAGATATAACTGTTACTTGGTTCATGACAAAACCAGGTCCAGGTTCAAATAATAGAAAGGAAATTACGACAGGATGAGGGAGGAGATGAGTATACACTGGCCTGACTTACTAAGGAATAAGAATGCAGATACTATGCTGAACATCATAGCCAGTAAAGCCAACGATTCGATCAATAAATATATACCCAAAACCAAACCCAGTGCCTTCAGGAATACAAGGAGACTGCTACACATGACCCATACGGTGGTCGGTAAAGTTAAAAAGAAAACTCAAGATTTCGAGACGTGGGTTACGACAAATGATGAGCAGGACAGGACGATGTATGCCAGATCCAGGAACCAAGCAAAGTCAGAGTGTAGAAATGCTGAAAAAGAGTTCCAGAGGCAGATTGCAAGTGAGGTCAAGTCAAACCCAACGTCTTTTTACCGCTACACAGTCAAAATTAAAAACACGAATACAGGTAGACATATTGGACCTGAGGCTTGAAGATGGTAGTTGTGTAGATTCTGACCAGGATAAGGCAGAAGCGTTGAACAAATTCTTTTCATCGGTGTTCACAAGAGAGGATGCAATCAATCTCCCTGCATTTGAAGAAAGACAACCTCGCGCTCTTTTCTCCTCCTTGGAGATATATTGTCCTGTAGGTCCTCTTTGGCATCCTCTTCCAAAAGAGACCAGTCTCAGCCAAATTGAAGACTTGCTTTGATGAGTAACCTCATTCCTGGAAAATCCGTTTGAATTCTGGTGGGAATGTCTCGGCTGCAGCCGTATCTGAGCTGACAGCTTCACCAGTCATCTTAATATTGTGGAAGTTATACCTGCGCTTAAATCATTGAAACCAGCCTCGGCTGGCCGTGAAGGTCTCTTCCTTCGATCCTTCACCCTCTTCTGCCTTGATGTTGTTAAACAAGGATCTGGCCTTATGCTGTATAACCAAAAGGCTCACAGGGGCATTGCATTGATTCTGATCCTCCATCCACATAACCAGCATCTTTTCCACTTTTTCTATCACTGTATTTCTAGTACGAGTTGTTTTTGTTGCACTGAGAGTAGTACCACTTCCAGCACTAACCTTAATCTTGTCAGCGATGGTCCTGATAGTACGCACCGTTGTAGGGGTTAGACCAAGCACAGCGGCTATGACCACACCACGTTCGAATGGTTAGAGTACAGTTTTAGAGCGAAAGCACTAAAGCACACATCAATGATGTGAAGTCGTAACAGAGACAGGCTTGGCATCGCCTGGGGACGCTGTGACGTTCCGCGTGTGAGGGCAGCGCGCCGAGCCGAGAGAGTGTAGTGCGTCCAGATAGAGCGCCATAGAAAGTAGTCCGTGACGACGCAAAACGACGTAGTATCGATCACCAGGACGTTGAATGTATTTTTGGTCTCAAAAGTTAAGCGACTTAGTACCGAGACAATGTTAAGCGGGCCAACATTAAACGAGGACTTACTGTGTAATCCTTTAAGCCTCAGACACTTCTTTGTATAGACAGATCATTCATAAACATAACATAATCGTTGTCATTGGTGTTTACAGCTTCAGAGACCCTGCAGCAGTTAGTGGAGAAGCTGGCAGGACTTAATTTCTCCTTCTGTTACTGGTTGCTGATCACCACCATCATCCTCACACCGCTCCTCTGGCTGGGCACACCAAAGGACCTGGGGTAAGAGAGCTCAATACTCTACACTATTAAGGCCACCAAGGTATTATACCTTGTCTTCAAGTATCAATTAAACATAGTGTATTTTCTCCTAATTTTTGGATTATTGGGTTTTACTTATATATTGGTTCTTAATCAACAGTGTGGTGACGTGGATTGGAGCCTCGTCAGTAGTGCTTGTGAGCATCTTAACACTCGTAGGTTTAATTCTTGATGCTCCTGACACAAGTGATCCAGCCCCAGTGACTCCCTCTCTGGCTGCTGCCGCGTATTGTTTTGCTGCCGTAGCATTCCAGGTTGGTCGAGACTTGTTGTGGCAACAGCTTTATTTTGTTTCCAGCTAACTCTTACTCTTCATATATCAATTATTTCTGAGGAAGGTAATGATATACCTGATGACTGCCACAAATAATAGTTGTCTGGCCAGTTGGAGAAAGCCTAACCTAATCTGCTTATCTACCCAGACCTCAGAAAAATTACCGCGTTAATACCCGACACAACCAACCAGTTCTCTCCCTTGACACTGCCCTTCCCCCAGCAGATGCCCATGCAGGAACTCGTAATGTTTAAAAAAAAAAAATCCAAATATTTCTCCCTTTGTGACCTTGCTGGAGTACTTGGTGTCTGTGTCTGAAAGACTCTTGCTTGATTTTTATGGTGTATATTTTCTTGATGGTATTTTCATTATTTCTTTAGTAGAGTAATGTCTGCATTTGTAATTGAATATTGATTATTTATTGTCCCAAACAGTTTGACATTCACCCAATGATCCTGACTGTGCAGATGGACATGCGTCAGAAGCATCGCCTACCACATGCTCTCGTAGTTGCTTTTATTGGTAAGTTACAAACAACTCGTGTACACTTTTCATATAAATTATTACATCAGGAATTCTGCATGGTCCACTAACTGTACAAATGCTGCCTTGATGTTCCTGCTGTGATTTTATTTATCTTAGTGATATTATTCTTCACATAAAATTTACTGATTGTTTATATTATATGGCTGTGGTGTCCTAGTGTGACAGGGTGTGGCGGAAGATCAACCGATCTGAGCGATGTTTCATTTCATTTGAGGTTGATACTGCTTCAGTTTGGGTGTGAGCGAATGTTTGACCCCAACGATACAAGATGAAACATATCACAGTCAGTTATTGTGTTACAGGCAGTGTGTGTCTGTTTGTGAGTCTCTCTGTTGCTGCCTTTGTTATCTTGGGGTCATCTGTTAAGGCCAACATCCTCAACAACCTCTCTGCCGGTCCTCTTCTATACGTCAACATGGCCATTGTCTCCATGCAGGTAAGGGAGGCAGGGCAGTATACTGTACATGATAGGGAAGTATATATGACAGTGGAGTATACATGTAGGTAAGACAAGGGAGGCAGGCACAGGAGTATACTTGTACCTTTATAAATACTGTATTGTACAGCATCGTGTGTCTTGTAAGTCACTGTGTACTTGAGCATCACAGTATGGTTGACAAGAGCTATATTTCAGCTGCTCCTCTGCCTGGTGCTCGGGATCAACACACTTTTCCAAGACCTTGAGAATTCCCTTCATATTCCTGACGGTGAGTAGTGTGTGTTGACTGACACTTTCATTTGTTTTGGTATCATGTTGGTCGTTTTGGTTACTTTCTTTGTAACCAATACTAAAATAATAACGTTTAGTCACAGCTGAGTATCATGTAATGGTAATAAGCAAGTTGTTTCTGGCTACTAGTATTTTCATATTTAAATGTTCCAAAAACTGACTGCTCAATCTATGTATAAAGAAATTGCAGGTACACTACCGATTTTCCGGGAACTGATGGTCCAGCACCTTGTTTAGTGCAGAAAAAATTACGAGAAGGCACTTGAAATTCCCGCAACTGCCAGACTAGTTGTTTATACTGCAGTTGTTGCGGGTGATCCCTCGATTTTGTGCGATTCTTAGCTCATTTTGCTTACATTTAACCCTAGGTGTGACTTCTGAGAAAGATGCAAGTGTCAGTGATGGTGTCAAGGGTAAACACCAGTCCATATCGATACAAGATAATTAATAATCCTGTTTCATTGATACTAATAAACATGTATCATTTATACTAATGTCTTTCATTTAAGCATTTAATTCACATTTAACTTACATTTAATATTTAAGTTTCTATCAGTCCATGGTACTTTAAAGATACGGGAGGTGTATAATTAGTGGGTCACAAGTGTATTGTTGAATTATTACTACGTTACCTTGGTTGGTCCGGCAAAACGAGTAATCCGGCAAGGCTTTAGAACCAAGGGTGCCGGAAAATCGGTGGTGTACCTGTATTTAACTTACTTAGCAACCTAATTTACCAGATGTCCATCCACTAGAGGTGGCCATGCTGAGGGAAGGACACCAGTGGTCTAAGTAGGATCCCTCCATTGCTCTTGAAAGTCTTGTCAAGGACTATTCTGTACTGTGCTTTACTTACCCACAGTATTTCTGATCTAGCTGTTGCTTTATGCTCTTAAAACACATTTTCAGAGTTTGGTTGGCGACGCATCTGTCTACGCACAACAGTCATGCTACTCGTTCTCTTTGTGTGTGAATCTATTCCACATTTTGCTGTTGCTATTGAGCTGGTCGGCGGTCTTCTTGTCACACCCTTTATATTTATCTTCCCTCCAGCCTTCCACATCCTTATTAAGGTGAGTTTATTTTATAATCTAGTCTATAGAGAAATGATAATAATTAACATGTTTGATCCTACGATCCATTATGATGCTGTAAACCCCAGAGTTTCACATTCTTTAGGTTTATTTAACAATTATTTACAATTTTAGAAAAAACTATGAAACTTCAAACTTGTTGTACATAGTTTCAATGATGTAAATGTTAAGTTCTCATATAAGTACCGAATGTTGCCTAGGTCAAGCCTCCTGACCAGCAAGTAAATTAGTTCTGTTCTTTCTCTATTTATGCTTTAGTAACATTGCTCCATCAGTGACTTGGAGAAACATCTCAGAAAAGGTGAAAATAAGACTTAACTGGCAACTGTTGAATTAAATTAGACCCAGATTACAGTAATGAACACAATGCTCCTCTGTCTTAGTCTTGGGGTGCAAAAAATAATATTAACATACTGAATATTGATGTTTGAGTCATTGTCATGTGTTTATATATTGTACTACAGAAACAAGGCATTGATTGGTTACTTGTACATGGCAGTGAGCATTAAGACTACTGGCTTGGGTGAAGTCAAATGAAAGGGGTTCTCAAGAGGGTGAGTGGACTGACTTGACTCCAAGCATCCCTAGCTGGTGCAAAATAGTGAGGGTTTACAGCACGTTGGGCTATATTTTGGCAGATGGTCCTGTGGATCACGTATCTCAGCAATATAATGGGATTCCTTACTGCAACCCTTTCAAATATTTGACAGCATAAAGCTAGTGGCCGCGTGGATGTGAGAGACGTTGTGTTAGCTGCCAATATCATGTGTCTGGGAGCTGTTGGATGCATCGCGGCAACTGTTGAGAGCTTTATTCAGGTGGTCAAGCTAAAGGAATTTGCTCCCCCATGTTATATCAATATCACTGCAGCTTCAGCTATAACAGATTCAACAGGATTTCCTAATCCATAATAGATTGTTCTCATGAGTGAGTATTTGATGTTTGGTCATATTTCAACGTCTCTCCTAAGCTTTTGGGAAATATCATCTGTGAGGCTAAATTTTTATAAAGATTATAAGAAATGTCAGAGAAATACACTAGCACTAAGAAAAATATACCACAGGATATTTTGCCATCTTCATTTTCCCAAAAAGCTGCAAGTACTGTATTAAACTTGTGACATTACAACAAGAAAAAAGGTTAACCCCCTAAAGTACAGTAAAACGTCGATATAACACGAGATACGTTCCAAGAGAGGTCGCTTTAAACAGAATTCGCACTAAATCGAAGTGTTGTTTCAATGGAATAATTTAGTTTGGTACTTGAGAGAAACACAAAATACTAAAAAGACTGAGAGTCTACCCAGATGCAATCCAGCCCATCTCCTAGAATAAACAAATATTGTTTTTTGTAGTATTATGTTAAAACAAACACTCATAAATCAACACAGCTAAAATTAAGGGATGCAAAATGGTCTGTTTACTAGCGATCAGCTGATGTTAGAGGGTGGTCACACTGGCGCCGCACATTGCCCGCCTCTCGTCTGACTCACCAAGCTCTTTCACTTTCCTCTCAACTTATTTTTAATTACTTTATTTTATCTAAAATAGATTTTCACTCAAATTTAGTTAAGCAATTCATTCTCTGAAGATGCAGAGCTCAACCCGACCAGCTCATTGTCCACATCACTGTCCAAATTGGCACCCCACACTTGAAGCACCATTTCCTTGCTGCGGGGCTTCCAGCACCTTGATTTTCTGCTCCAGTGTAATTGCCTGTCTTGATTTCTTGGTCTTTGGGAATTTTTTTTTTATTATTATTTATTGGGCACTCCCCTACATCCTTGTGTAAGGTGAAGCACAGAAGCGTTTACAGTGCCCAACAGGGAAGCATGCTAAGTTCATGCTTGTCTTTATGTCTCACGAGTTAAGGGCGTAGAAGCCTGAAGAGTCAAGGGCATAGAATCCTGAAGAGTCAATGGTTTATGTCATCAAGCTATTGGAAGCTCCAACAACTTGTCCCTGAATACGAATTCGCAACTTTCGATTTACACCAGGTACCTACTTTACTGCTAGGTGAACAGGGACTAATGGGGACTAGGAAGTATGTCCAAACAACTTCCACCAGCCCGGGAATCGAACCCGTGACATCTCGCTTGCGAAGGCAAGAGCGGTACCACTCTACCACCAGCACCCCCAGGTCTTTGGGAATGATGTAGTAGCTGGCTTTTTGGACATGGTGGCGATGGATGATGCATGTGGTAGAAGGAGATAGTGTCTCATAATATGTCCGTTCACTAGAGCATCAGTGCGAGAACTAAGGATGCGTGAGAGTGTGAGAGGGTGGCGGGCAGCCATGTAGTGTGCCCAGAAACGCGTCTGGTAGGTAAACATTAGGCGCGAAATTTAAAATAGTGTGTATTTCCATATGATGCACCAGAATGACTCACATAAAATAGGAAAGATTCGCTTTAAATTAATACATTCTCCTTAATTGTGGGTGTCACTTTAAATCAATAATTTTATATTGAATCGCTTTAAATCGACGTTCTACTGTATTAGCTCAAGTGATTATTTTGCTCCCAGTAGGGTATTAACCCCACTGAACAAAATAAAGTGTGTCCAGACTTTTTTTTCTCAAATTGCACACTTTTACTTTGTCAAGAGTACAAAGCCTCATGGCTAATAAATTGAGAAAATTCTAGTCCTCCCAACTTCCTTCCCTCATTGTCTCTCAATAGCTTCTCAACCACGATGCAGTGTACACGCTGCTCCTCACCACTCATCCTCCTGCCTTCCTACTACCCTCCACTTGTCCCCCTCAGCATTGCCCACAGTGAGGTTGGAGTGAAACAGCCATAATTTTTTGCATAATTTTATGCATACAACTCTTCACAATGTGATACTGTATAGAGGCAGAGTGAGGGAATTTTGAACATTTACTCTAATAACACAACTGTATCACAATATGCATAAAATTACAAAAAAATCTACAGCTGTTCACTCCCTCACTAACATTGCCTCAGGTGCAGTAGCTAGGAAACTGTGCACATTCCAACATTCTGTCCTGTCAACATTGTGCCTTAGAATTGTCCCAGAAATACAAACTAAAGTTTACTGCACGTAGCTGATCACTGTGTATAAAATACAGTAAATATTGAATATTCTCTGATGTTTTTAGGAAATTGTGAAAGTGGTTTATGGGAAGTGAAGGTAGTTTTACCCTCAATGTATCATTACAATAAATAATATTTCATGAATTATGATGTTGTTTATGTTTTACCAAGAGATTCACCTCAAGAAGCAGGGATTGTCAACCCGTTCAAGATCTGAGAACACTAGAGGTCTGGGGTCGTGCATAAAGAGTTGGTAAATATTTAAATTTTGCAAATCCAGAAACCAAGAATACCAAAAGTTTACTGTACTGTACTGGCTAAAGGTTTGTGGTATCAACAGAATTTAAAATTTGTGGTAATATCAAAATAATAATTCTAACTTTTTTATCAAGAATAAAGTGTCCATGAATAGTAAACATGGAATCTACTGTACATTCTAAAATTAAGGTATACAGTAAATTAAGTACTGTACATATAAAATTTAGATTTATTTAAATACAAAAAAGTTTAATGTACCACAAAAGTTACCAATTTAACTGGTCTAAAAACTTAATAATACTCTTTGAACTACCGGGTAATTGTTACAAACAAAATACATATAACCTAAAATTTCTTAATAGCGTACATTAAAACTATTTTCTCTACTAATGTACTTTACTGAGAAAAATCAGTCAGAGTTAATTTCTTCACTCAAATTCAAGACGTGAGTGGCTGCTTTCTTTTCTTTTAAAGGATTATAAGTGTTACCGCAAGCAGCCCGTATACAGTATATAGGGTACGAAGATGGTGGAGATGAGAGGTCCAGAAGGAGGTTGGCGTGTTGAAGGGAGTTTGTTTATGTATAATTATAATCACCTGACTCAGCCATAGCTGAACAGCCAGGGGTTCAGGCTATAGGGTGGGCATTTCAGTGTAGCTACCCACATCTTGGAGGCAACACCTACCCTGGCTTCTCTCTAGACTTTCAACACGTAAGTTTAACTATTACTTATTGTGTACACAGATAGACTGTGTCCATTACATCATTTGTCAATGTGACTGTTACCTCAAGCGGTACATAATTATGATGACATATAAACAAATGTTATGTTAGGCTGTAACTCACAATGTAGAGTGTTGAGATGGTTGAAGATGAGAGGCCCAGAAGGAGGTTGGAGGGTGTGAAGGGAGTTTGTTTACGTATAATTATAATCACCTGACTCAGCCATAGCTGACCAGCCAAGGGGCCAGGCTATAGGGTGGGCATTTCAGTATAGCTACCCATATCTTAGAGTCAACACCTACAGAGGCAGGTGAAGGTGATGAGTTGGAACATCTCATCCCTTAGAAAACGATACCCTGACCTACACCACAAAGTTGTGACTGAGGACATCGATATTGTGTGTCTGCAGGAGTGTCTCACACCTAATGGTAAGCCCCCACCCAGTCTGCCCAATTATGTGTATTATGATCCTAGTTCTACTCACACATGTTTGATGTATGTTAAGAAGTCACTCCCGCATGTACCTCTTGTATCCAAAAAGACTACCAACCTTCAGTACCATGGGATCACTATCCACCTGGGCAACTCCACACTCAACGTGCTAAACGCCTATGCTCCCTCAGATCAGCTTCAGTACACAGATCTCCCAGACTTTTTACACACTGAGCCCACTGTCCTAATGGGTGACCTGAATACTAGACACAAGAAATTAGGTGACTCCACCACTAACACCAATGGTAGGAGACTTATCTCACTTCTCAGTGCATATGAAGATGTTCAAATTATAGGTAATAATGAACCAACACACATCTATGGCGGGGGTCTAGACAAATGTATTAGCTTTAATCTATCATACACAACTCATAGCTCTGATGTTGTCACTGATCTTATGTCTGACCACAGCCCAATCCAAGCTAGTATACATGTAGCCAATGACACCCCCACTGGTGGTAAACTCAACAGACGTAGAATCACAGTCAAGCAAGAACATGAAAGCCAGTTCATAGACTTCATCCATGACTGGTACAAGGACTACAAGCCTGACAATTACCAAAGTTTCCATGACGATCTGATAGATAGGACTTATGTATACTTCACCAACAATGCCTCCACCCAAAAAAGGAGAAAACGTGGTCAGCATAATGGGAACAGGCAACAGCAGTGCTATAATGACCCTGAGCTGAAAAAACTCAGGGCTAGGGTCAGGAGGGTGGGTAAGGGTTACAGACAATGTAGAACACCTCAAATGTTACAATTGTATCAAGCTTCCCTTGCTGCTGTCAGGGAACGTGTAAACGAACTCAGACAAAATGCATGGGAGACATATGTCAACAGCCTGAACCAACACACATCCCTCAGCAAAGCCTGGAAAGACATAAACATAATCAGAGGTAAAAACAGTAAACACGTCTCCCATCCAAACCCTCTGCAAAAGTCGAATGAGCTAATAACAAAGTGGGCTCATGTGTCTAGCTATGACATGTTACCAGCTGGGACTCAGGGACTCCTTGATGCGAAGTCTGTAGAGAGAAGTAATCTTATTAGCTTTATGCTGGGCAAACAGCACGATGAGTGTGATGTTCCATATACTGAGTGGGAGCTTGACGCCGCCCTCGCCAGGGGTAGGTCTACTTCCCCTGGAGAGGACAGAGTCACCTACAACATCATTAGACTACTAAGGCGCGTGCCAGGCAATCCATTGTTGGTATTGTACAATATGAGTCATGCCGAGGGCCAACTACCCACATCATGGACCAGCAGTATTGTTGTACCAATACCGAAACCAGGACAGCCTGATGCCTTTCGTCCCATATCACTAACCAGCTGCCTGTGTAAAACCTTTGAGAGGATGGTTCTTGGCAGACTCTTATATAGAATCAGAGAACACATGTCTCTAACATAAATGGCTTCACCCATGGTAAAGGTGTACATAATTGCATCACCACATTCCTAACTGTGCATGGTGATGAAAGGCACAGATACACCACATTTCTTGACCTAAAAGCTGCATTTGATATTGCCAATAGGCAACTGATATTGTACGAACTAGCCAAAATGGATATAGGAGGTAGGCTGTTACACTGGATAAGTGGTTACCTAACCAACAGAAGGGCTGCTGCACTGTTTCAGGGTTACAAAAGTGAAGTTAAAGATATGCAACTTGGTACCCCTCAAGGTGGAGTACTTAGCC